TTTTTGTTGTATTTTTAATCAAATAAGCGCAGCCATGGTTAGCAGAAGAGAATTCTTTTAAAAGTATTTAAAATCGTACCGACCCCAAACTTTTGAATGGTAGTGTACATACAAATGATTTGTAAATCAATGGATGACAAGTGATGAAGACATCCGTGTTAATGGATCCTCAAACAAGATAAACACAGTTACTGAACTTTACTATACAATACTACACATTCAGCATGTTAAAATAGTTAAAAAGCTAAAATGGTCAGCCCCCCCCCCCCCCCCCCTTTTTTATTTTATTTTATAAAATAAATTTTCATTTAGTCTCTTTCCCTTTTTGTCTTCTTCCCTGCCCATCTCTATTTACTTTGTCTACCCTTTCTACTGTTTTATTTTGTAAGTTGTGTGTCCGTACTGGTGAATGTCTGTTGGTGTGCATGTGTCTGTGTGTCTGTCCTCGTTTTTGGGCCTGTGTTGGGTTGGTTCGTGGGTGGGTAGGGGACCTGTGACAGGTGACATTCCGGTCCCACTGTGCTGTGTTTATTCTGTTCACTGTATGATGTCACCTGTTGTTAAAAAAAAAAAAAAGAAGCTAACATCCCTATAAAGTACCTTCACTCATGTTCTTGTGCTTTTAAAAGTAATTATCTTCCGGGGTAACTAAAAGTATTAATGTGGATTGCAACAGAGCAAAAACATTTGAATTACTGACAAGAACAAGTGCAATACAGTTTGCGATTTGTTACTAATTCTGTTATAAACAATTAAAATTGTATGTACAATACAGTTATGAATTTTGTCTCATGGGGCCTTCCATTTACACTGACTCTAATACAATAGTTAAAATATTACACAGTGATTGAAAGCAAGTTTTGTTTATATGAAACTGGTGCTAAAATTGTCCTTCTGCTACAATCAGTGCTGCTAAATATATTTGAATTGTCTTAAGTCACAACAGCACCCCTTAACAGATAACAGAGAGAATGACATAACAGTGGAACATATAACTAACACTGTAACTCATCTGCATTTCTGCTCAAGCCTGTCTAACCACTTTGGGAAAAACAGGTGAAGTTATGCAAGTGAGCTCTTTCCCAACAACATGTTGCGTAATCTAAAAATGTAATGTTTCATCCAAATATCTTAAAATGCTGTAGCAAGAACGTGTCATGCCTTGATACTTAATAATAAAAAATAGTTTGAGCTGTTCATCTCTGCATATTGAATTCAGATCAATTCATATTCTTAGCTTGACACGTTTTATTCCACTCAGTTGTTTAGCTGATTGTATGGAAAAAAGAGGATACTCAATGTGAGAAAAGTTTGTGCCATGCATCTCAAGCTGATTCAGACTATGAAACTGTGAATCATTTCCAGTCAATCACAGTGTTACAATGTTACACATCTGTCTCTGGAAGGGAAGCCCATTGCTCCAAATCGAACACAATCATGTCAGTGCCCTCGCTACACTGTAAAAAGTGAACAGTTGGATCAACCTAAAAAAATTACTTCAATTGGTAACACCTAAAAAAATTAAGTTTTCTCAACTTAAATTATCACGTTTTATCAACTTCATTTCACTAGGTCAATCACACTTAAATTATTTGAGTTCATTCAATCCTATTATTTACATTGGTCTGACTTAATTTCACTGCATTCCAACTTAAATGTATTAAGTTTTCCTACAGTTGGATCAACTTTAAAAAAATACTTCAATTGGTAACACCTAAAAAAAATAAGTTTTATCAACTTAAATTATTATATTTTCTCAACTTAATTTCACCAGGTCAATCACACAAGACTCAAATTGCTTCATAAATATTTATTAACATTAATTCATTTCATACGCCATCAGTATTTTTCATATTACAAACTTTGAGAAATCATTACAAACTGTTCATATTTGTTGTGCCAATGGAATTTAATTTACTGACACACTTAACATCCATTCCATTAACAGTCTTTTTGCAAAGCTGTCTTTGCACAGCATTATGCTCAAAACTGAGCCACTAATACATTTATAAAAATAAATATAAAAACATAGTGGTTATGCCCTATGCCCAAAAAACAATTAAAGGGATAGTTCACCCAAAAATGGCTCAAGTTGTTCCAAACCTGCATGAGTTTCTTTCTTCTGCTGAACACAAAAGATGATGTGTTGAAGAATGTTGGTAACCAGACAGTTGACGGCACCCATTGACTTCCATAGCAGAAAAAAAAAAATACTGGAAGTCAATGGGTACCGTCAACTGTCTGGTTACCAACATTCTTCAACACATCTTCTTTTGTGTTCAGCAGAAGAAAGAAACTCATGCAGGTTTGGAACAACTTGAACCATTTTTAGGTAAACTATCCCTTTAATATATTCTTAAATTAGAACCATAAGTGTATGATAAGTGCTTTAGAACACCTTACAGGTAATGCCCTAAATTTAAAGTGAACCAATCAACTACAGATTCGAACATACAACTACACATTCATACTAGACATATGAATGAACAAATGGATAGTCTACAAACATAAGAAAACAAATGAAACATCCAACTAAAACGGAGACATTCTTTCAAACACAGACTAGACATATGCACATTCAAACATTACAGCAAGTTCACTGTAGTCTACTGAAAAGACTTTGAACTTTTGGTGACATCAAGCTGCAAGAGAACTTTCTGGAATACCTCATGTAAAACGAAGTGGTTTTGGGTAAGCCAGATTGATGATGTATATCATCCCGAGAAGCAAGGCACAAGCTGCTGTGAACAAAGGTAGTTCATTCAAAACTTTAACACCCTCGATGACGACACCTATATCAGCCGGTGGTTCGTGATGTTCTCCCCCCTCCTTCCAAATAACATACACCGCCATGGTGAGGTGCTCCAGCTCACCCTCGCAATCATCTCGCTGGTTCTCCTAAAGTAGTGTGCATTAAAAAAAAAACATTTTGCGTTCAAAACTACAAAACACAAATTTAAACTTTCTGAAAAATAAAATCAAAATAGAATATGCGGAATTTCAACTCACAAAGTACTCCTTGATGAGGTCTTGAGGATTTCCCCCCAGGAAAACGATGAGGGCCTTCAGGACACTCTTTTTTGTGTGAATGTTTTCAGTCTGTGAAAAAGCAATTGTGAATATTTTTCTTATTTTTAAAATTCTGAGTAATCTGTAATAGAGAATCAGATTTCGCCGAGGATGGCAAAGGACAAGACAATATAAACATTCACAAAACTATAAAAGTTTGTATTAATGACTGGCCAAAGTACATCACAGAAGTATACAAAATCATTATTCAGATATACAAAAAAACACTGATGTCTACGTTACCGTTAAAAATAGAATATTGTTTTCTTTAGTATATCACTTTTTTAACTGAAACCGTAGTCCTCTGTGGTTCATATAATGCAAGTGAATGGCTACCGTCTCTTTTGAGAGTAAAAAAAAAATGTACACGTGGCTCCAGACAATACATCGAGGTCTTAGGAACTGAAACAATCAGTCTGTGCAAAAAACAAGAACATTAACATGCAACATTGCCATGAACGCACTCAGGGCTGTTTGCTGAGGCTGTTCACAGGTAATCACAAGAAATAATGTTGTAAATAATGTTCAGTTTTTTCCATAGAACGATCGTTTCGCTTCAGTGAACCTTAAACCTCAATGAATCGTCAGGACCCACAGGTATTAATTTTGTTTTGCCTGTATGTTTTTTTTTTTGTGACGCTTTTTGACTTGCATTATATATTAATCACCATGGACCACAGTTTCAGCTAAAAAAAAAAAACTTCTTTACTGTTCTACTGAAGAAAAAAGTCACCTACATCTTGGATGGCCTGAGGGTGAGTAAATTAACAGCATTTTTTTATTTTATGAGTGGACCATCACTTTTAAATTGTCCATTTTGATTGGGTGGTTATGACAATTTCAAAGCTATAAAACAAGTATTTAGGCTAACAATTAAATGTTACTGTTGAACATACTGTGACTAAAATAAGATTGTTTAGTTGATATTAATGTAAAACACACAAGACGTACCTGATCCAAAATTTGAAGAATTTCTGCATTACTTAAATTAATAGAATTACTTACCATGTAACGTTATAGCAATCGTCGTCCTCAGTTGTCAAACATGAAAAAAGCTTTCGGTCCTAAGGGGAGAAAAATGTTGTAGTATTTAACTTAAGTGGTAGAAAATGATTTGCTACAGGCCAAGTAATTAATTAGTTTTGAAAATACAACTATTTCTACAAAAAAACAAACATTTTTTTACTATGGAAACCCCTGATATTTTTTCCTGGATGAAACACCTCGAGCTAGGCGGATGAAACATAAATAAAAATGTATTCGTTTTTATATGTTTTATTCATAAATATTTCTAGTTTCGTTTTATTCTACCACAACTCGCACACAGAGTGAGTGCATTACCGCCCGCGCCCGGCCATCAAATTTAGTCCCGCGCCGCACTCGTTGGGAGTGCACGTCTCTAGATCAAGGGCCCGGCTCGAGGATAGTGACGGGAAATATCGGCCCGACTCGACAAGTTCGGGCTCGGGCAGAGAATCTAAGCTGAACATTATTCAGTAACGCTATTTCGCAAACGAACGTTCAAAAATTCGGTTAATTACGATTTCGTTAGTATTCATGTTCACAAACAACATTAATTAACTCATAAACAACTAATACACACGTCCAAAAGTTGCATATTCGAGTATATTAATTAAAACAAACTTCCAACCTACCTTATTCATCCGAGTGCGAGAGAAAAAGAAAATGGCGGTTGAGCAGAAGTTCCAGACAGGCTCGTGCGTCATGACGTCAGAAAAAAAACGTCTGACGCAGGTGGCCTTAAAGGGAAATTATACTTTGGGTGAAAGTGAGATATTTGAGTGTCAGTGAATTTCTATGCGTTCAAGTTGAATGAGTGTACAATAATCAATTACGATTAGGAAAGCAGAAATACGAAGTACATAGACTCAAATAGTTCTAGTAATCCAACTTACACCCATATTCACTTTTTACAGTGTAGATGAATCATCTGCAACGCAAATACATGATCGTCATATAACAAATCCACATAGTATTAGACCATCATATAAATAGGTCTTTGGTACCTCCACATCTGTGTTGCTTTCTTTTTCTATCTCGGTCCCATTTCTTCTGGAAACCCAAAGACGCAGCCACCAGGAAGAATACAACCACACACAGAGCAGCGCTGAACGCCCACATGTGCTCTGAGAGCCGGACCACCGATGTACTTGAACGAACACCAACTGACCACACACACAAAACTCACGTCTTCATATTGTTCATCACTGTATTGTGTTTGCTGTACATCTCAGGCTGAATCAAGTTCAGACTACTGTATTGTTCACATTACACATTCACTTATTTGACATATTATTGGTGTATGTAAAAAATCCCACCACCATTACTGAAACTGTTGAGGTATACTTACTGCTCGTTGCTGTTAAAGTTTCGTTCAGCAGGTTGTTTTCTATGACACAGGTTACGGCAGTGTCTGCTGATATGTTGATGGATAGGACACTTGTGATGTTGTAGAGTTCAGACTGTGGTAGAACATTTATATATGTTGTGACTAATGTTTCTGGAGGACACTGTGTATGGTTGACAAGCCAGGAGATGGATGGAGCAGGAAATCCTCCTCTGGAGTTGCAAAACAATCTGGTTTCGCCACCATCCACTCCATTCTGTCTTAATAAAGTAGGATGGCTGAAATGGCCTGCATGCAAATAAATAGGTTGAATGCTTGAAACCAAAATACTTCGAATAAAAAGTCAAAGTTATAGTCTGGTTGCAAAAAAGATATTATCCTTACCTGCTACGGCGAGACAGACAGTGCAAAGAGAGCTGCTTTTTTCGCCGTGAGGCTTAAGATGAAAACTGTAATTATGTGTGTCTGATAAATGTATATCGTGTAACACCATGGAGAAATCTCCTGTTTTTGGGGCTAAAGATGACACTGTAGTCCGGATACTGTGGGACACATTTTGATTGTCCACTCGTCCCTCTATCCAGACCGCAGTGTGTATTATTTTCATTCCTCTTCTCCATTCAGATGAGATGTGGAAGGAGGTCAAATTTTTCACCCCATTATAAACACAGGGAAGGAGGACACGCTCCCCAATCACTCCCACTATGCATTCATCAGCTAGATAGCAGTAGAGAGTTAAAATGTCATTCTTGAATCTAAAGAATAGCCTACAGTGTATACAATGTATCTAATGTATCAAGGCAGAATCAAGAGTCGATTGAGCTGGAACTAATTGAAACAAACACACAGGACTTACCTTGTACTGAGGCAACACTTGTGATGGCAAACAGCAAAGCACCAAACATGTCCCTGTCATCGTTTAAAGATATAGTCATGTGGTTTTTTCAAAAGCGCACCTCAAGGAGAGGAGGTGTGTACTGCTGTCAAACTGGTATAAAACTGGTGGAGTCACAGTTGTTGTTAGGTCATACTTTTAGGCTGTGCCCAAAACCAAAATGACATGCCAAACTGCATTCCTCTCTAGTTTCCTTTGGCTATAGCTTGGAGTAATTAAATAAATTGAACTTTTGGTGATTTTAGAAAGTGTAGGAGACTTGCCTCCTTAAGCAAGTTAATTAATGAATTAATTAAAATCAAAGGTCAAATAATTTGAATTTCCACAAAATTTTGTTATATTTGTTTTGCCCATATACATTCAGAAAAAAATTGACAACTTGTTTTGTTAAATCTTCTCAATAGCTGTCAAAGGTTCATGCCACTAACAGGCCCGGCGGCACGAGGGGGCAAAAGGGGGCATTGCCCCCTCAGTTTCATTTTTGTATTCATGGTTACAAATGAAATGTTTAACCTTTTGATCGGTACGGTCCCATATGGGATGTATACTGTTCAGTTACGTGACATCACTACCAGATTTGCGCGTTGGTTGGCACTGACTGAGCTAGAGACGGACGAGCTCAGCGCTGTCATATATCAAAACTATGCAGTGTTTTCAACCTCATAATGTTTATTTCAGGTTTCAGACATTGAGATACACAAGCACTAGTAAAACAATACATTTGGAGTTGGAGTAAAATACACACGGATGTCTGTGGAAGCAGTACTGTATAACAATCTATTCAAATATAATTTGCCAACGTGTGTTATTCATATCAGACAAACATGTAACGTTAATTCGGAAGAAACTGATGACTGACAGGACTCTGAACTACGGCGCAAAGAAACATGGTGGCGCCCATTATAAAGGTTTTAAACGACCAAACACACTCACTTACACATTTTTGACAATCGGAATATCAGATAGTTGATGACATGGTAAGCAAGTTTGTGAATATTTTGAATAAAAAAGGAAAAACGAAATAAAAGCGATACACATCTGTCATTCATTATTGTGGCTGCGGTGTGTCACGTGACAAACATGACACGTTGCCATGGAAACATTAGGGACTTTAAGCAACAGCTGCTGATAGAACGGCAACGGCAGCCGGAAGTAAACGGTTAACTGCCGTAGCTAAAGAGCGCAAAAATCACTAAGCAACAGTAAAGAGGACGGCATAGGGGATAATTTAATCATCAGACAAAATACAAAAAATAAACTGATTTTAAAAAGTAAGAGAAGGGTTGATTTGGGCATTTAATGATATACAGAAACGATTATAATGCCACATAACCTAAAACATAACATTAACTTTCTTAATCTGTCACGTAGTATCGACTACGGCAAATCAGCTGTTCTCCCGTTGTAGACGGTTACAGTAGAACGTCGCGAAGTAGCAGTTAATGTCGCGCATGCGCAATAGAACGACAGAATGCCGTTGTCGTTCCACCAGAGGCTGTTGCTTAAAGTCCCTGTTAAGGGGGAACGTTCTAAAATAAAAACTCACTCTGGTGAGTCAGTTAGAATATTTTAAACTTAAGCGTGAAAGAGTTCATATATGAACAATACATTATGCTGGCTTTTATTACGCGGTTACCTGTGCAGTTGCATATGGAGTGTTTTATTGAGCGCTGCATTTAAAAACATGTTGTTCCAAAGCGAGGTGTGTGTATTGATTGTTCATTGATGGTATAAAGTTAAGCCCCCTTAACAATTTCACATGCCCCCGCAGTCATTTCATCCTGCAGCCGCAGCAGGTCATAGGCTACTTTTTATGACTCTTGGATAGATAGATAGATAGATAGATAGATAGATAGATAGATAGATAGATAGATAGAGTTTATCTTATCTGAAGAACTTGGACTTTATGGTTGTAAAAGCACTCAGTGGACAGCTTGGTTTAGTTTTTGTGATGTTGCATCATCAGATCACTATCATTGCGCTGAACACTGACCACGTGACCCAGCACGCCCCTGCGTAATCGCCAATCCACTTCATCCCCGACACTACACGTGTAGTGATTGGCGTAGGAAGGTTTTGTTGCTATATAACCCTCCTTTTACTGTTAATCATTTACAGTAAGTAAGAGAGCTGTTCACTCTTCTGTGATCTCAGGGCTGTATCTCAATCTCATCGTCAGCCATATCCGGAGTGCGCATGGCTTCACACATGCAGAACGACAGCAGCTCAGCCTCAGCCGGCTTCCAGCCGGTCTTTAAATCGTTCGCCACAGATGCGATCCACGTTGGTTCAGAGCCGGAGCAGTGGAACTCTATGGCCGTAGTGCCTCCCATTTCACTGTCTACCACCTTTAAACAGCACGGTCCGGGGAAACATGCGGTAAGTTGTATAATGGTTTGACATTGAGAATATATTAAGTGCTGTTTCGTATTAGTCCGATATTTGAATGGAGATTGTATGTTGTTATGAACGCAATCGATGCGTGTACTGATCGAGTGAATGGAGAACGCGACTGTTATTGTGATCAGGGTATTTAAATGGGTTTGATATGAAATGTACAATGGCAGGACTTTTAATGTGAAAGAAAAGATTTTCTTTTTTAAATCATAAATTAATGTATAAATATAAACTAATATACCAACACAGCAAAATCTTTAGTGTTAATTTGAGTTAAATTCCCAGTGTAAATTATTCCGAGTGAATGGGTGTTGATTTGTGAGTTATTTTAACACTTGCAGTGCTGAAAAAGCTCTGTGGGGGGCGTCATTTCAAGGAGTCAGGAGTATACACTAATTTTGAGTTACTTTCCACATCCGGTTTTTTCGCGCTCATTGACGAGCGGGAGAATCACTCGTCTCTTCACTTACCGATTGGGATATTCGGCTTAAAAGGTAAGAACCACATTTATCAACTTATAAAGGCTGTTAACGTTAGTCGGTATTTAAACCATGTTTTAACGTTTAGTGGAGTGTGATGCAGTCGATTTGCAAACGTGTGGATTAAGTTAACGTGTGGTGGGGGTCGTCGTCGGTTTTGTTGTTTTTATTATTTAAATTAACGTTAGTTGATGGTTGAGAGAGGACATTTCTGTTAGGAATATTCGGTTAGAAGGGTGAGAACCACATTTATCAACTTATAGAATGTTAGTCTTAACGTTTGCAAATCGACAGTCAAATTAGGCTAGTTCAGCAACTGAAAAACTGTAAAATTACGCCAGCGCGTTTTAATATAACGCTAACAACATGTGCATAACTGTGTTTGTAACGTTACATTTAAGAAAACCACTGAATGGTCAGTGTTTCCTTTAGTAACGTTTAATTTTATGTGGCGTCGTCGCATGTCTGCGTGCAGGGATAATTCAAATTTTTCGTCGGCGCCAACGTTATTTGAGGTTCAGATTTAACTGTTTTTTTAATTGCAATAAACTGATAAAACTAAGCCGAAATACAAACATCGTGATGAAGATTTGTAAAACGTTTGAATTCATACTACGGTAGCCTATATCAGGTCCATCCGCAAGACAACAAGCAAACAACTTTTAAAATGTTTGTTCTCTAAATAGAGTTTTGGGCTATGGTGGATGCATGCAAGTGGTATGAACCCAAAATAAACTAATTCTGCCGTGATATACTTTCTTAAATGGGTAAAACGTATGCCGAAGCCGCAACATCATGATCCATATGAAAAAGAAAATCAGGTCTGTTCGCAAAATGACAAGCAAACAACTTTTAATAATGCTTGGTTTCTGACTGAAGTTCAAAAAAGTTGCCAGGGCATCATGTTTCAAACCAGAATATTTTTTTTAATATGTTGCACTGCTTATTAGCACTTTTCACTGCTTGTTTGCCACTTAAACATAAGCTAACATACCGGTATATCCTTGCAGTTAAGATTGAACCACTTCTCACTTTTTCTCCACTAGGTGCAGTTTCAGGATGTTACCATGTTGCTGAAGGTGAAATACCGTAGTGTCAAGAAGTACATCAAATTGCACTCAGGCTTCACCTATTCAGAATTCACCAGGGAAGGTAAATAGCCATCCTTTAAAGGCCAAACGAAATAGCCACTTTTGCAACAAATCACAGTACATGATTATCTGTGGCTGACCTATTTAAATACTTTTGGCTGTATTTAACAGTTTATTAAAATGTTGTCATTTTATTTTAATTGCAGGGCTTTACTTTTAATGACAGTTCATAGTGTAATCAACATTAGTTAGTACATGGCAGTATACTTTTGCTGCAGATTCTTTAACATTTACAAGTCAAGAAAATAGTTAAGTAGGATGATTTAAAACTAGCTCCAGGTGACTTTATCTTGTTACACTCTCTCTTTTTATAGTCAAAAACAAGTTTGAGCTTCCTGATGAGGCTTAACTTGACATTTTTGATGAAACTGAGACAGCAGTAGAGGAAGACATTCTTCTAGAGCTGTTGGAGGCCGATTCAGACATGTGCCTGACAGTACGTCAGTGCAGCATTTCAGATGAAGGTAGGTGTCATTAAGAAAACCTGTGTTTATGGATGGGGCTCTTTGATGCTGCTGACATTGACCTTTCTTTAGGCAGTGGCTCAGTGGTTCATGTGGGTTGTCTACAAACCGGAAGGTTGGTGGTTCAATCCTCGGTTCCACCTGACCAAGTGTCGAGGTGTCCATGAGCAAGACACCTAACCCCAGCTGCTCCCGACGAGCTGGATGGCGCCTTGCATGGCTGCCGTCGCCCGTCGGTGTATGAATGAGTGTATGAATGGGTGAATGTGAGGCAAATGTAAAGCGCTTTGGTGGCCATTGGGTCTGTGAAAGCGCTATATAAATGCAGTCCATTTACCATTTACCATTTCTTTATGGAACGAACAAGGCAGTGGGCAATGATGGAACAAGTTTGTTACTGATTACTAAAAAATATCATCCAAATACTTTAGGGTAACTTAAAATGTTTATACTAAAATTGGTAAAGCCACAAAAAGTTAAGTTAATCAAATTCTCTCTTTTTAAAGAATTTTCTCCTTTACCACCATCTTCAACACCATCTTCCCTCACGGATACCACATCCCTTTCTTCAAGTGACAGTGACCTTAGAGAACTGAGTATTCCCACAACAAGCAGAAATGTATCCAGCAAAGAACACATGAGCAGTTCTGCAACAAAGGCTTCCGTGTCAGAGGCGGCAAAGGAGGTAATTGAGAGCTGAAAACTTCTTATAATTGATGGTAAATCAAATTAAGGTGTCATGCTAAATTAAGATTATCAACAATTGAAGCATTTGGTTCCAAACTCTTTATCAAAGAAAATGTTATTACTTTGCCCCTTCCTAGATTTTTACCATACAGACATGTTGTGCTATGTTTTTTCTGATTTTATTTAATAGAAAGAATTGAACAATAAAACTTAAATTTCATTTTCCTGTTATGTGAGTAGATGGTAGAAAAGGCCTTGCTTAAGAAGCCTGGAGGAGAGGATATTCTTGAAGAATACACGTCAGAAAATTCACTAATGCACCGCACTCGGAGACAGCTTGTCAACCTATTGCCGAGTGATATGACTGAGAGACATGGGTAAGATTTAAAAAGGTTTTTATTACAAAGGAATTTAAAAAAAGGATGTAATCTTGTAATAATATAACTAATGTTTATTGTACTATATAAAGAGGAATTATTGAAGATTGACTTTCTTCACTCTATAGCAGGTTTCCTTCCCGTCAGCAGAAGTATGCCCTGGGAATTATTACTCTCTTTCCCTCACTGAAGGATCCTTTTTCTCCAAATGGCTATGTAAGTTTAAAACCTTAAGAAAACACAGCACCCAATTTACAGAAAAGGGCGTTGGTGTTGTAGTTTTCATTATAAAGTAATTACAGTTGCTTATAAAAGTGAAAAGATTTGATAATTCAACAACAATATCGATAATAGTGCCCTGATTTGAAATTACTTGGGTTATAAGGATATTGCAAATTAATTTGAAAAAAGAAAATCCATTAAGTAATTGTTCTTTTGTTTCACAATGCTGCATCTGCACTTTCTGTAAGATCATTTTGTGATTTATTTGTGTTTATTCATTTAAATGTAACAGGAGCATTTCTATGATGGGGAAAAGGGCACTGGATATTTAGCATGGCGCCTCAAAACCATTTCCAGGACTGCAGGAAAACGGCCAGTCAAGGAAGCCTCGGTGTATCAACCACAAGGACCAAAGCGCCGAAGATCAGCAACCACACTGCCTGAGCAACTAGATGGAGATGCCTGCAGGGAGGCCATTTCATTTCTTGTTCACTCTCCTGATGAAGCAAGTGTATTTCAGAAGATGACATTTCAACATCGTCAGGACCTAGTGCATGACCCACAAAGAAGCACAGATGTCTTCAAAACATTTCCACGCTTTTTGGATGTCAAAGGACTGGTGAGTTGTATATTTCTTTTATTTAAACTTAAGTATTCAATAACCAGTGTTTTGTGGGATGTTAGCCATAAAAATACACAATCATTTATCTTCCTGGCTTATTTACTGTGTTCTTTTTTCCCAAAATCTTTATTTTGATTTAAACTGGTTTAATATACCACACACTGATATTAAAAAAAAAATCACTAAGCACACCAATGCACTGAGCTCTAGCCTCATATATATGCTTGTGTGTGTATAATCAACAGGTGAATCAAGACTTCCTGCTGCTGTTTGGTGCTGAAATGGCCTCCAAGATGCTTGAGAAGTGGGACACCTCATTCAAGTCATCAAAGAGGCCAAACAACTGACTCCGACAAATGAGCTGTGCCGACTTCTAAAAGCTGCTGAGAAACTTGAGAACACTTGTATCCAAGTAGGAATCTGATTCCTAAACATCATTTTGTGTTACATTACCCGTCTTGTATTCGAAAAATTTAACCATTAATAGATATGTGGAGTATGAGATTCGAGGCAAAACACAGGGTTTTCAAGAGCACACTTAAAAACTTCAAGAACATCACAGTATCACTTGCCAAAAAACATCAAATGTCCATAGCATCTAATTGGGAAACATCTCCTTTGAACCATGTTGAGTACGGACCTTTGAAAACATTTAATGTGGACAATGAGGAAAATGGTGAAATGTTTGCCCAAGCTCTTCCCGCTGAAGCCAAAGACATCTTCTCTACTAACTGGGTAAAGATCAGTAGAGAGCCGGGTTAGTCATTTGCAGTAGCACAGAACAGGAAATGCCTGTTTTTTGCAGAATTAAAAAAAATGCTTTTAGTCAACAGTGTGATTTACTTCATAGTGAACAAGCTTATGGTTGACCATTTTAATGAGCACTTTCATACTATGTGTTCGAAAGTGATGAAATGGATGTGATGAAAGCAGACTCTCTTCAAATTTATAAGCCTTTTGACTTACAAAGTGCTTATGGTAAAGATGATAGCCTTTACATTGTACCATTATTTTCTATGTAAATGTGCATAGTTCAATTGTATGGTGCTTGGATATTTTGCCTTTATTAAAAAAAAAAGTTGAATTCTTTGTACGTTTATTTTTTTCCTATGGTGAAAAGACATTTTCAGAACATTGTATGTAACAACTATCTTGAATACACTAGTGTTATTATAATAACACAGAATTATTTAAATTAACACTTTTAAGAGTAAGGGAGTAACACGATTAAGAGTTAAAAATACTATTAAAGTGTGACTGAATGTTAGGAATTAACACCAAGGAATAACACGTGTAGTGTAAAAATTACTCATAAATGTGTTAAGAAATAACACTTTTTAACACTATTATGGAGTTAAAATATTATCACTATCCAAAGTGTTAATTTAACTCTGGACGGGTGAGAATTATATAAACTCTGTGAAAGTGTTAAATTTAACACTATGGGAGTTGAAATAACACTGACGTTTTTGCTGTGAAGGGTGATCATGAATGACTCGCAGAAATAAGCTGAGTGACTAAGCACAGCTTGTACTGAAACCAGTCAAACCGGCTTACTGGTTTTAGATGGTCTCTAGGCTGGTTTTAGAGGGGCTTTTACTTTGTTGGAAGATCCTAAACACAAGTCATGCCTATTTATGTTAACACTTCATGAATTGACGAAATTAAATTGACATTTTACAACACCACAGGTTGATGTCATAAGTATATTATTGCCCTGCTTAAAAAATAGTTTAAATAGCTGATTTAAACTGGTCTCCCAGCTCCAAACCCCTCTAGAAACCAGTCAACATAATAAGTAGGATCTGGTGGTTACAGATTACATCAGCAAAGATGCTGCAAGTTGATTGAGTATTTACTCAACCGTATGAGTCATGAGAACAGGTGGTTCAAATAAATGCATGTGCTGGCTTGTGAGCTGTTTCTCTTTGGAGTGAAACCACAACGTTGCAGTTTACTTGTGATATTTTTTTAAAACTTTTCTATGAATTTACATTATTTCTTTATTGCTCACTCACAGATTTGACACTTTATTTGCACAATTCAAATCACTTGTGTTGTGTATGCATAGTATTTTGAATTCAACACTTTTTTTCCCTCTAATGTTTTATCTGCCAGGGTTTTGAGTACAGCAGGAGTGGAAATCCCACAAGAAACTGTCTTGAGAAAGCAGTTGCTGCTTTGGATGGTGCACAATACTGTGAGTGCATCACCAACACAAAATCATTTAATATTATCTACAAATGATATTGCCATAAACCTAAAGCTCTGACTTTCCTAACAGGTCTCGCTCTTGCCTCTGGATTGGCTGCAACTTTGACCATTACACATCTTTTTAAGGCCGGAGATGGAATTCTGTGCATGAATGATGTTTATGGAGGTGAGTTATTGCTCCTAAAAAACAATTTAAACTTGATAGAAAAGAGAGTAAAAAGCTGAGATTAAGTTAAGAGAGATGCTGAGTCTGTCACCTTTCCCCCTCCACCAGGAACTAACCGATATTTCAGGAAAATTGCTGCAGAAGTTGGCCTTGATGTCTCATTTGCTGACCTCACGAAGCTAGAGGAGCTAAAAGCAGCTTTAAAACCGAATACAAAGGTACACCTGGCAGAGAAAACTGTTTTTTTTTTTAAAGAACACAATCAGGTTTTTAAATCTTCCTTTTATTTCTCAGCAGTATATAGCTCCGCCTCTGATAAAATTACTGTGAGTAAGTGGGTGGGTGGATATGGAAATATTTAGTTACACAATTAAAGCTGACAGAATGTGTGTTAATCAGCTCTGGGAAGTTTCTTTCTAACTAAAATGGGGGAACTAAATATCCCCGTTTCTACAGATGGTGTGGATTGAAACGCCCACAAACCCTACTATGAAGGTCGTGGACATTCAGGGCTGTTCAGATATTGTCCATGAGCACAACAAGGACACAATTGTTGTTGTGGACAACACTTTCATGTCAGCCTACTTTCAGGTAGGCCTATACACATTTATTTTCTCAGCTGATGTTCTTTTAATGACTTATAGAGTAGATAACTAGGGATATGAAAGACAATTAAAAGGTGACTTAACTATGTAACAATTTAATTTATAAAGTTGTGTACAATACTCCAGTGCAAGCAAGGATAGAGTTTTCTTTTACAGAACTAGGTATTCATTTAATTATTTCACCATTTTTCTTATTACTGGAACAGCGCCCTCTTGCACTTGGAGCAGACATCTGCATGTACTCTGCAACAAAATACATGAATGGTAAAAACTAATGAAAAATTAGATATAAACCTTATATAATTGAAAACATGCTTGATCAAAGTTAAAATAATCGGTATAATTCCAGGACACAGCGATGTTGTCATGGGGTTGATGTCTCTCAGCCGTGAGGACCTCTATGAACGCCTGAAGTTTTTGCAAAATGGTAAGTCTTTACTTAAAGTCCCCCTGTAGTCAAATTTTATCCCTTAAAACTAATCTTTGATCACCAAAATGACATTTAAATGTTGAAAAAAAAAATTATTCATGCCTTAAAATAGCTTGAATGTAATTACACCCTTGCCTCATTTAGTATATGCGGTTGTATTATGCAATTAGCCCCGCCTCCGCTCACTCACACCAGCTCAGAGATCCACTCGTTGACGATCAAACGTTGACGTGATTGGTTACAAGGTAGTTTGTAATGTCAGAAACCCCAGCGATTTCAATCCGTGTTTTTGAGACTGTCTTTGGTTCACTGCAGTTTTAAGGAGAAAGTACTCCGCAATGCTGTTGAAATATGCTTTTGCACATGGTTTGCCTTAAAGCATATTAAAAACACCATATAGACACATAAACAACATTAAAAGCTTGATTTCCACCACAGGGGGACTTTAATCTAAACTGAAACCGTTAAAGTCAGCATGAAACGGAAGTCGCAATAGTATTTTCTTCACTATTGTGACGTATAGTGAAACGGCTTCTTGAAGAAAAAATGTAGGACGGGACTTGATTTTGTGCATCAGGGAATTGACTGGATCGTTGTGGTTTGCTATGGCTGTGATCTCCTGTAAATGACAGGTTGTCCCGCTCTCACACTGAAAAACACGCCATCATAAAAGAGCAGAGATGTCGCTGTAAGAGGGAGGGGAAGGTATTTTGTTTAACGACTATGAGGACATATGAATTTAAAAAAAAAAAAGATCATGTGCACAGATAAATCATTCACAATATATACTGCAATATTTTGTTAAAAACAAGAATCATCAATTTTGATTTTATGGAGATAATCTGTCTGATAACATCGTTGGCCAACAGCTCATTTCTTTATGGCATGACTTAAAATGGCATGACTCAAGATCAAAAGGGCTGTAGTGTATTTTACAAGCAGTTTATAGCATGTTATTTAATAAGAGAAGTTTATTACCATTTGAAATAAAGCCAGAATATTGGACAGTACTAACAATGGAGAACAAATGGCTTGCAATGTATAAAATATAATAAAATGCATAGGCCCAATGCACATTTGCATTAGATGATTGTTGGCTTGGTTCAGATGATGAAGAAAACTAACTCAAATAATCCAATATGAGAAGCCGGTAATGTGCAGCATGTAGCAAGACACAGACAATGAGGAACTGAAAACAGAGAGCATTTATACACAAGATAACAAACTAAATGTCAAGCAGGTGTGATCAATAAATGAGTGTCCATGGTAACAGATTAATGGTGGGAAACTAGAACAAAGGAAACATGTGACTGAAGACAAACTAAAAGTCCATGAAAATGGAGCTAAACACACAGACTGTGACATGAATACTCATTTGGTACAATATATATATATATATATATATTTTTTTTTTTTTTTTGGACAGATGCACCTTTAAAGCTTTGAAGGAAAATAATCATTTTCTTGTTGTCATCTTGTTGTTGTTTTAATGCTGATTTGAAATATAATCTTAACAAACAAACAAATGTGCATAAAAACATCGGTTACACCATGAAGTACTAAACCTGATTGCTGTTGTACTATCAGGTGTTTTTTTTTTTTTTTTTTTTTTTAATGAGGCAATCTCAAGGCCAAGGAATCAAAGACGACTGAGCTTATCACCAAAGAGTGTTAAAGGTTCAGTTTAGTGTTATAATGCACAAAAACATACAGAAGATGTTGTGTTTTAATATGCTAGAGAGAGACACCGGGTGTAATCTTCAAATATTTCTTTGCGAAAAAGGAATTCCAGCAAGAATGAAGTTCTTTTATCTACCCTATTGGGGGTCTTTTGTAAGGGACAAGAAAATGCCTTTCATTCACTTGAAAAGAAAGTTACTTGTCTTCAGTTGAAGGTAATATCCTGTTTTAATGTTTGCTGGCAATATTTCACTTTTGTTATTACCTGTAGTCTCATTGCTAAGCAGTTGTGTAAAATGTATTGCTGTAACACTGAAAATGAGCATAGCACAAGTAGAAGGGTTATTGCCATCTCTCTTCCTCTATCTTTAATTTAGCACTTGGGGCCGTTCCCTCTCCATTTGACTGTTATATGTGCAACCGGGGTCTGAAGACACTGCACCTGAGAATGAAGCAGCACTTTAAGAACGGACTGGCAGCGGCACAGTTTCTAGAGGCCGACCCAAGAGTGGACAGAGTCATCTTCCCAGGTGTCTGTGTTATTATCCTCACATTACATAGAAGTGTGTGTTGGGTGAAAATGACATATGTTGGTGATTGCTCAAGTAACCCGTCTGAAAATAAGATTTCAAATGAAGGCAATGGTAAATGTTTGGTTGAGTCGATAATACTGCATGAGTGTGATATTGTGAATTTATATACACTACCCACAAATTTTAGGGTTGATGTTTTAATGTATTTGAAAGAAGTATTATGATAAAAAAGACTGCATTTTGATGAATAGAAAGTTTAAAAGAACAACTTTTGAATGTTAGTGTATTGAGCTTCAATGGTATTCTACCACCTGCGGGCAACATTGACCTGTTGTTCAAATGTAACTGATATTGAGAGATTCCAGTCAGACTTGATTGACTCTGTCATCTTATTCTACTCCAGGTCTTCCATCTCACCCTCAGCACGAGCTGACAAAGAGACAGTGCACAGGCTGTCCTGGGATGATCACTTTCTACATTAAAGGAAAACTGGAGCACGCCTCAACTTTCCTCAGCAATCTGAAGGTGCGTTTAAACTACATATTGTTTGAAAATCTTTTCCATCCTACATTTTTAAAGAATCTATGTTGTATTTTGCATTTCAGTTGTTTGCGCTTGCTGAAAGTCTTGGTGGTTATGAGAGTCTAGCAGAGCACCCGTAAGTACTGAGAACACTATCCAAATCCACTGACTGTTCTGAGGGAAGATTTGATTTAAATCCAGAGCATATAGCAAAAAAAAAATCATGAAGTTTATTCACAATCTTTTGGTTTGTGAAACGCATATACCAAATATGCTTGGTATAGTAAGTGTGGATGTATGTGTGAGCCCTAAAAATTGTTTAAGAGGGCTTTTTTTATGACCACAAGGGGGCGCAATAATTTAGATGATGTACTAAAGCAGGGGTGTCCAATCCTGCTCCTGGAGAGCTGCTGTCCTGCAGAGTTTAGCTCCAACCTCAATTAAACACACCTGAACAAGCTATTCAAGGTCTTGCATACTAGAAACTTCCAGGCAGGTTTGTTGAGGCAAGTTGGAGCTAAACTTTGCAGGACAGTGGCCCTCCAGGAGCAGGTTTGGACTGTACAAAATGGGAAATTGCAGAAACAACACTTAATCTGCTTTTTGGAATATCACCAGACAATTTATCCAATTTACCTGGGTAAATTTACACAGATTGCGCGGCTAATGTCAACTTTTGGTTCCAAAACCTGAGGTGGCTTTCAGGGTATGTAAATTGACCCTGGAACATATTCAGAGAATAAGTTGCCATGGCTGTTTACTTCAGAGGTATTCGGCGCATACGTGCTCTACTGATAAGGCTCCAGTAGACAGATTTCACACAATACTATTTGCTATATCTCTTGCTAAATCTTTCTTGATATTGCACCTGCACCAATGTTACCATGATTTAAAACAAGATTTGAGATCCTTAAAATGAGTTTTTGATTGGACCTTGCACCTTCATTTCCCATGGTGCACTTTTCTTTTTCAGAGCGATTATGACTCATGCTTCAGTTCCTGAGAATGAGAGGAAAAAGCTGGGAATCAGTGATACACTCATTCGTCTGTCGGTGGGCCTGGAGGATGAGGAAGATATTATTGCAGACCTAGACCAAGCCCTCGGTGCTGCAGTGAGTGTTTCACAACACATTTGTACACATACTTATCTGTAAAACATTATATATATATATATATATATATAAGAAATTAGCAAGAATTGAAGGTAGACAATTTGTTCCATAAACACCTTTTGGTTACATCCTGATAGCAATTAATAATAGAAGTTGTCTAAATATTAAAACGTGTACATATCTCTTCTGTGGATTTTTGGTGATCTCGTTGACAAAAATTATCGTCCAATCATTGCACACGGCTTAAACATTTAAAGAAAACAAAGGGAAAGGCTGTCCTGTACTAAATTACTTTATCAGTATTTGTGCAATTTTTGCTAATTTCCTCCAAAGGTGCTTTCATGTGTTTAATGGTGCATCCTCATGTAAATTAATTTTTATTCCCTGAAATATTTTTTTTTTTTTTTTTTTTTTTAAGTGTGTCAACACCGATATCATAATAAAATGATTTCTGAAGGATCATGTGACACTGAAGACTGGCGTAATTGCTACTGAAAATTCAGCTTTGCCATCACAGGAATAAATTGTATTTAAAAATATACATTAAAATAATATATATATATTTGTTTTTTCAATTGTTAAATACATTTAATTGTAATAATATTTCACAATATTATTGTTTTTTTATTTTATTTGTTTTTTTTGTATAGATATTTATATCATATATATATATATATATATATATATATATATATATATATATATAATTTTTATTTTATATATAATGCATAGAAACCTTAATACAAAAAACCAAACACTAATTTCAAATTTCATGAATTAATCTAATGTCATGCAACCTGTTTCTTTTTTTTTAAAACAGCATCCAAAAAAGTAAGAGACTGATCAAGATCAATCAGGAACAGCAGTGATGCCACATGTGGATGAGACGAGGACACGTCTCTTTTTTTTTCTGGCACATTTATCAATTACTTAGTATATGACTGAAAATTTTATTGTATTTGTCAGGGAACAAATAACCTCAAGAAACTCATCTTTTCATTCAAAGTACTGGAGATTTGCTGCTTTTGTGTTTCTACTTTTTGTAATTTATAGTTTGGGGTAGTAGTGCTAAACAATACAGCCTCAACTGTTAAAGTTTTTATACAGGAAAACGCCAGGACTGCAAGGGAAATCTGATATATGATGCGAATGAAGATTTGTATCTTCTTTTTATATAGACTGCTCAAATGAGTGATTCAAGTTGATCAAGAAGAAAAGTCTCCCACAATCAGTCTTTATTTTCTACATCAAAGATGCAAAGCCACCTCATAATGTTTCAAATCACCCTTCATAGATCAGTTTTGTGTTTTAAATTCTTTATATTTTCTAAATGCCTATAAGCAATTTCAAATCTAAAGGGATCACATCCGATCTTTGTCTGTGCTGCCAGACCCATTAAAAGCCATTTGTAGTCTCTCCCTGTCTGTTTTGTCTTGTTCCTGAACGTCTTTGATGGTTATACACCATAAGCAATCACTTTGAAGTCAACAAGCTCCACACATGTAATTGGAAGATAAATATTAAAAGACATATCTAATGAGCCGATCTAACAAATACATCAATAATGCTGCAAGGACAGCTTGAACTGAGAAGTAATTATTTCTCTGCAGTATTTATCAGGCTTAAATTTATTTCTTCTGTCCCCTAATTTGCAGCGTAAGATTTTTAGGGTATGCTGAAAGAAACTGAACAATGAAGAAAAATATGCTAAATATTTAATCGGGATGTCAAATATTTTTCAATTTTGCTTTTTAAATGCCCATTTTTACTGATAAATGACTCAGTGGGAGTCAGTTAAGGCATGAAACTGTCAGAAAGTATTAAATGCCTTTTTTTGTCACTATATTTTCCAATGCCTGTTTTCCACCATCTCGCCACAAGGCATATACAGTATTCTGTATTAAATAAAAAAAGCCTCAATTATGTTATTTACTGACTCAAAGGTCCATTTAGCAAAATGTACACACAGGAAGCACAACACCATTAACTCCGAGTCATAAACTCTACATATTACTGTCCATTTAAGCTAGACAGCGCTTGCAAAATGTCATCCCTAATCTCTTCAAGGGTCAGGACTCAGAGGTGTAAACTTCATTCTATAATGTTTTTTTTAATAAGTAGCCTACTGTTTAATGTTCATACTGTTTAATATTTAATGCTCGTAGAGTTTGGGAGCAGTATGTGTACGTGTTACAGGCTAGTAATAGAATAAATTGTAACATGAGCAAAGCTGAAGTTGCACCTCTTGTGTGACCTAATGTTTTTTCCTTCATCAAGATTCATGTTTGATCTCGCCAGGCTCCTTTCATGCTCTGCCTTACAATTTTCACATAGCCAAAAGAAAATATATTGTTTGATTTGCATGACCAACTTCTAAACTATTTTGCAACTTTAAAAAATCCTCCTAATTTTTAAGCCTGACCTGGGATTATAAATAGCACAGTTTCATGAATATATGTTATTTCAAATATATGACTAGTAAGTGAACTTTTGAAGCAGACAACATTGTATGTTATTCTAAATGGACCAGTGTTAGCATGCCACTATGCTATAACAATCGGTTGTGGTCATAAAGATCATAAAAATTACATTTTGTTTGTATTTAGTACAGTCCTGAACAGATATTTACATATAGTCCACAAGACAAAATAATTGATTACACAAATGAACCAGTTCAAAAGTTTACATACGGTTGAGTCTTAATGTGTTGTTGGATGACCATCAACTGTTGTTATGTTTTGTGATAGTTGTTCTCCATCAGTTATCAGAAGAACTATAATAAAATACAGGGACTACACATTATTTGGTTTTCATTGTGTCATGCCACAGGCTGGTAAACATTCAAATGCATTAAGCAATGTACCTGTATAAAAAGTGGAAACTGAAATTTCAGTTCTAACCATCACATAGCCCAAAAACCTGCTTAAAAGCTTACCTTTGAGCAATTTGATTAAATTAAGGCTTTACTTTATGTGAGTCATGCTACAGGACAGACTAAATGTTGTGATAATGAATAGCCATTTCATTCTCAGAGAATTATTTTGCTTTCATACTTTAGTTTCTTTCAATACTTTTCACTTAATTGGGCAATAACAATCTCTTCCCATTCGTATAGGCGCTGGTAAAAAAGAATGAAAAGTGACTTTGGCCATGTATGCATCACATTAGAAATGTTATGGGTTTAATTACACATTTGATGATGACACATTTTGTTCCTCAGAGTGTCTTTGTGAAGATGTGGCAGTTCATATGCAGCTCTGGCCATGTAAGGTCATTCAGATAGATCAAGTGGAAAATTACTATGTTAACCTTTGAGCCATCCATTTGGTTTAAGAAAGCAGTTAGACATCCAGCAGTTATAATTATGGTTATGTAGGACAAAAGGTGATTTGATTTGTTAATGTTTGTTGTTGCTCATTTACACACATATGAGTAATGATTCTCTTTCCCTTAATCCTTTGTAATCCATTACCCTGTGCAGCTTTATTCATTCTAACCACCACAAAATACAGTTTTTATCTTGGACTTTGCCCAAGAAATCATACAAACCAGGGGCTTTGAATGCTGTTTTGTCTGCATGGTCAACGTTAATGCTAATCTTTTCTACTTGAACTTCTAGCAATAGTGTTGAAGGACATATCTGCCAAATCATGCTAAACTATATAAAGTACAAAGCAGAGTTCAGGCCATCTCAATTTGGAATGAACTTTGACCTCTATCTGGTGAGAGAAGTCTCTCTTTGAAAGCCCTAATAGGATATCATCCTCTCCTGCTGTGATGTAATTCGCCTTTGGCTAAGCCCCGCCCCCCTTAGTTACTGTTGCTACGTCCGACAAACAAACTTCATCTGGGCTCTGGTATCAACATGGCTTATGCTGTGACAGCTCTTCCTGCTGAAAACTTGATCAAACTTTTATAAAGCAGCAAATGTGTCTGATAGAAGTAGGCAAAAGGGGCTCCAATATACGTTCGAAGGCATACGTTCATGACATACAGGTGAAACGCAAGGAACAACAAGGCATCCAAAATAGAGGCAAAAGCATACCGGTCACAGTCAAAATATTAACCACCGCATATCCTTCTAATCGAGACGGAGGCTGGGACTAACAATATCTGTTCATGCAAAGCTGGGTAGATCTCTATTCACTTCTATAATCGTTATTACGAAGCAAACGGACTACGCGAGTATAACGTTGTATTTATTAGCAGCGTGTGCTAGACGACACTTGTCAGGATTTGACTTTGGTTTTGGGAAGGGAAAAAAACTGACACCCCCCTCCAACCTCTCTGGGAAACGCGTATCTGTGTTACAAATGCCCCAGGCACAACATTTAACCATATTTTTGATAAAGCTACGACAGTAATAGCCTGCCGAGACCAAAAATATGAGACGCCTGTGTTAAAGGCAATGGAGCGCTGTGAAAAAGTGTCGGACCACTGTGGGAGCTCGTTCTTGGCTGCGCTGTGATTGGTCAATCTACATTCTAGGGTGTGGCTTAGCCAAAGGCGAATTGCAAACCAACTCCACTCATTATCTTAACACTCAGTAATCAGAGGATGTCTTTAACAAATTTGTGGTGTTTCATGAATATGGCAATTCATGAATTGAGAATTTAAGCTCCAGTCATCTTGAAATGGCAGGCCTTTGTAAATATATTATTATTATTAAATAGGCTATACACTGGCGGTCAAAAGTTTGGAATAATTAAGATTTTTTAATGTTTTTGAAAAAAGTCTTAAATCAGACTTCATATATAATTATGCAGGAAATCTAAAGCATAAACATATAGGCTATCTGGGATTATTAGTAGAAATGTATTTGAATATAAATATTACAATACATCAAGCCCCTATTATATTGCACTACGTTGTATTAAAATCCAAGGTTTACCATGCATCATCTTGCTCGGAGCGACAGTATAAATGCCTAGAAATAAAGCTTGTCTTTAAATCCATATGCAGAACAGAAGCATGTAGGCCTAGGCTATATTATCTCCTGATGTCTTTTTGTTGACCAACATCCACTTCAGACTCTTGGAGATCTTGTAAACAACAACAACAACAACAACAAAAGCTAGTTCACACAGTTCAGCTCAAAATCTATGGCTTTTTTTCTTTTCCTTTTTTACTAGCACAACAGTTTGCATTTGAATTTGTGTTATTTGTAGGCTAGCATTGTTAAGCTAAATATTAATTTAAAAAGTCACAATCTTTACCTCTTCTATATTCTGTTAATAAAACCTCTGTTGAACCACAGTAGGCTATTGTACGAATACAAAAAAATGTATGTAACACAACTTATTACATAACCTCAGTCAGGGCTGGACTGGGACAAAAAATCAGCCCTGGACACTTCATCCAGACCGGCCCACTATGCATGTAAACACACGCGCACACGCGCACACACACACACACACACACACACACACACGTCTACGTGCATTAATCTGCATGTAAAATACTGATTAGAATTTATTTACTATCAAAACCAAGAAAAAACTATTAAAATAATAAACAAAGAAAATGCAAATGATTTTATCAGGCTTTATTGTAAATAACGAAAGGTCTTAATTTATATGCTGCTTATTATTCTAATAGAAATATTAATGCTTAGGGTATACTATATTAACTATATAAACTATATTTCATGAGGTGCAACATCACTGCCAGGACCTACAGAAGAAGCCTAGTAAACAGTTCACTTTTCTCTGCAACTTTGTCAATGATCACATCAGAGTCAAGAGAGAAAAGGATGTCCCTCTCCGTTGCCATCAACATAAAAGCTTCCAAGTGCTCCTGTGACAGCTTGCTTCTGAGTCTGGTTTTAATGAACTTAAGCGTTGAAAATGTGCGTTCACAGGCAACCTGAGTGATTGACAGGGTGAGCAGGAACTTGTATGCCAGACCTAGGAG